CATCCCCCAATCTCTACTGCCTGACCACTTATTCCATCCTGGAGGAGGGATGGTGGGTCCATATCCTTTGATGTCATTTGTGCAGCGAGTTCTGGAGTCCTAAGTACCCAAAGAATGTTCTAGAAGAGGATGCCCATTCTGAGTGGGTATGCACCCTGGGCCCCATAGATTCTTCATCCGAGGGGGGAAGAGCACAGCTAGACAAAGGCTGGGATAGGACCCTCTAAAGTGCCAGACCCAACCAGAGCCCCCTTGCTTGGGTTCATGGGCTGTAGGGTCGTACCCACTGTCAGCCTAATAAAAGACGAATTCATCTATGTTGCTACCAGAATCCTCGGTCATCCTTACATGGCATCAGACATTAAGGAGAGCGAGACAAGGCAAAATATTTTGGTGGTTTTGGTTGTCCCGAAGAAGTCTGAGACACCGGATGGGAGACTCAAAATAAATTCATCCTGGGTGCACCCACCTGCTTTTCCTGGAGCCCAGGACACAGATCCAAGAAAAGGGCCACCCCACGCCGTCCCTGCCCAGCCCGCCCCGCTGGCCTGAGTGGGGAATGCAGCCCCATGGAGAGATATGTCGTGGCCAGAGAACCTGTGGCCAAATCCCGCTCCCTACTGGCTGTGTCCGGGCAAGCAAGTTACTCCCGGGACCGAACCAGTTCTCTCAATGGCCACGTGGAGGCGATGCATCTGTAAAGGGGAGGTGATCGTGGTACCTTGTCTGTGATGGTTTGCCTCATGGGTCAAGCCGGCTGGACTACGGTCACACATGCGGTCACACATGCTGGGTGTTTCTACAAGGGTGTTTTTAGAGGACATTATTTAAATCAGTGGACTCTGGGTAAAGCAGATCGCCCAGTCATAATACGGCCTCATGGAATCAGCAGAAGGCTCTAATGGAACAAAAGACCGACCTCCGCCAAGCAGGAGAGAATTGTGCAGGGGACAGTGTTCCGACTTGAACTGCGAGACTGGCTCCTCCCTGGGTCTCTGGCCGGCTCTGACAATTCTGGACCGGGGAGCTTCCACAGTCACACGAACCAACTCCTTAGAATAAATCTCTTTCTCTATGACATCCTTTTGGTTCTGTTTCTTGGGGGAAGCTGGACCAACACACCCCCTTCCAGGGCTTGTGAGCCGCGTAACGGGTGTGGCCCAACAGCTCGCAGACAGCGTCCTCAAGGCGCGTGAACTATTACCATAAGCAGGAGCACAGGCTTCTTAGTCCAACTATGAGTGGGCTCTAGCTCTGCCATGTCCTGTCACCTGCCCACCTTCTCTGGGCCTCAGTTTCCTTATCTCTAAAATGGGTTTAATAGTGACTTTCACCTGGAGTTATGAGAATGCTTGAAAAGAGCTCGTGTTTGTAGAGATTCTGGTATAGTGCGTAGAATTCATTCATTTCCTTTTTTTTTTTTCTTTACCCAATATGTATGTTGGTTGTGCCACCACAGTGTGCCAAGCATGGCTCTAAACCTGGGGACACCAATGACCTACATCCCAGTGCTTGGGGAGCTCATGTTCCAGGCCAGAGAGGTAGACCAGAAACATGTAGACAAGTGGGTGGGATAACCTCACACCCTGGGTGGGTGCTGTGGTGAGGATACTCTGGGGAGGGGACACAGGAGACTCAGGGACAACTGTGGAGAGCTGAGAGGCGGTGTTGCGTCAACCTTGTTGCCAGTGACAACTTGAGACCCCAGAACAAGGCAGGGATCACTAAACCCCTGCTGACACCCCACTTCTCGACAGGCATTTCCCCAGTTGAGCCGGGGCTCCCGGCCAGTGTATTTTCTTGGGCGTGGATGTCCCTCCTGTCCCCAACCACCCAAGTGGTTTGCAAGTTTTATATCCAGACAGTGACGGTTTCAGCTGGCAATGATTTAAACCTTTTCTTCCCCAGAGTCATGGTTCTTCGAAAACTCTGGAGTGCAGCTGGCAGACGTGGGGGTTGATTGACACCCATCGAGCACCCACCTCCGGCTCCGGGTTGCCCCTCCCCCACTCACTTGTTCCCTCAGTGAATGACCCCCACACTGTGCAGGGCTTGCGTTTCTAAGGGGTCACACTATAAGGGATAGCATAGACTCAGGAGGTGGGAATTCATCCCCTGGAGCCCCATAGAACAAGGCTGTGGTAGGAATATCCCAGTTTGGGGCACCATCTCCCTAGGATTCCGCGAAAAAACAAGTTGTAACTTTGGCGGGGGCCCAGTTGGATGGAGGGTCTTCAGTGGTGTCCCTCTGACGGTGCCCCTGAGGGTGGGCATCAGACACTGTGACAACGGGCAGAGAATCTGACCCCACACAAGTCTCAGTGAGTCTGTGGCCAGGCTGGGGAGGGGCCAATGGGAGATTGTGTTATGTCTCCAATTCTCAACCTCTGAGTCCTTGACACACACCCTCCACCACAGTCTTTTCCTCAGTCCCTCCCATAGCTCACCATCAGCAGAGCGCCCCTCTCCTGACTGAAAACCTTCTGCACGAGCCTTCATTCACAGTGAGGGGCACACGGTGGCTGGAACCTCAGGCCTGACATTCACACAGCACCTCCCGTTGGTGACGACAACTTTCAGGCAGCTCCTACTATTTTCTCAAGGGAAGTGGTACCTGCACTGAGGGGTAGACCCCAGAGGTGGCTCCCTCTGGGGCTGAGGGGCCACGCGTGTGACAAAGATGCTGCCCCTCTCCCCACCTACCCAGTGACTCTGTGACAAGACAGCTCCCTGAGGGAGGGGTCTCCTCCCCTTGAGGCAACAATGCTGAGGGCTGGAAGTCTCCTCAAGAGGGGGGAAGAGGGAAGAAGGGTAGAGAAAGAGAGCAGATGGAGAAGGCAAAGAAAGAGGGAGAGAAGGAGGCAGGACTCAGCTTGAAGCCACCCGCCGAGACCTTCCCTGATATGATGGTTAATTTTATGCGTTAACTTGCCTGGGTCCAGGGTGCCCGGAAATGTGATTAAACATGATTTCCGGGTGTGACCGGAAGGGTGTCTCCCGATGGGAACAGATTACGTCTGCAGACTGAGTAAAGCAGAGGGTGGTCCCCAGGGTGGGTGGGCAGCATCCAGTCTGTTTGGGGTTCTGAACAGAATAAAAAGGTTTAGGAAGGGAGAATTACTCCTCCCCACCGTTCATTCACTTCTGCCTGACTGCTTGAGCTGAGTCTTTTCCTGCCCTCGGTCTGGAACCTAGACTAGCAGCTGTCTTAGTTCTCAGGCCTTTGGATTCAGACTGGAGCTACACCACCAGCTGGCCTTGGGTCTCCATCTGGTCACCTGTATGTAGTGGGACTTCTCGGTTTCCATACTTCTGTGAGCCAATCCCTTGTAATCTAGATGGATGGATGGATGGATGGACAGACGGACAGACAGTAATAGATAAGTAATAGATATATAGAATATATATGTCCTGTGAGTTCTGTTTCTCTGCAGAGCCCTGGCTAATACACCCAACTCTCCATTCTTGAGTTTAACCGCTACTCTTCCGCGGGATCTCATTTATATCTTTCACAGTGCTTGTCTCTACCTGCAATTACAGTTCGGTCTCCTTGTTTGTTTTGTGTCCCGCCCCCCTCCGTAAGAATTGAGGCCAAGAGAGCTGGGGACTCTGTCTTCTTACTCAACGCACCCCCCCACACACACACCGCCCAGACCAGTGCTTGGCCCTTTGCAAGCGCTCAGTTGGTATATGTGGTCACAGAGATGGCAGGGAGCAAGGGAGCAAGGACACAGAAGGAATATATTGTGAGAAACAATGGAGAGGTGTTTCCCAGCAACACCCCAGGGGCTCCTCTTGAGCCCCAGCTACTTCTCAGTCTCCAGCAGGGTCTGAGGCTGCAGACACTGTCACCTCGTATCAACCCGCCGGGCTCGTGACATGGTTTTGTATTATCTCTGCCCCAAAGTGCCATCTTGCACATCCAGGAAAGCAGTGCCTGTCACAACCCGTGCTCCCAAGAAATATCAAACACACCCTAAGGCCACGGAGGGCGGGACGTTTCTCAGAGGCCAAGTCCCGGGTTTGGTTGCTTTTTTTGGTTTGGTTTTGTTTTTAACATTTTGTTGGTCTGGTGCAACCTGCTTTTTGGAATCCTGGCCTGGAAGACAGTTTGCTGCAAGTTCTGGAGATGACAAGTCCGGACCGAGGCCAGCACAGAGACGGGGTCAGGCATTAATGGGCCGAGGAGGGACTGGAACTGGGGGGCCAGGGAAGGAGGACGATTGGTTGTATGTCCGGGGGGGGGGGGGCAGAGTGACCGGGCATAGAGGCCCTCCAGACTGTATGACCCACCGTCCTTCCTCTACAAGTTGCTTCCTGAGGCCGAGGATGAGGGTGAGTCCTGCCGGCCAAAGTCTTCCTCACCTGCCTACCCAAATACAGCAACGAACACCGCTTGGCCTGAGCTTTTCCCTCCGTGCCCCTGTAGCCAAATGGGGGTTTGTCCTCCGCACCTCCCGAGGCTGCTGAAGCCCATTACAGCAGGAGAAACCCGGCTCCAGGGACAGGGGCCTCCAGGGACAGGTCCCCATCCGAGCCGCTGCCTCCCGCGGGGAGGAGGGGGCCGCTGCTCCGACTCTGAGTCCAGGCCCATAACAGGTGCACAAACCAGCTTGGCGGTGGGAACTGCAAGCGTCCACACCGCCTGACTTGGTGTTAAGCCATCAGCTGGGAAGCCTGACCGGCCGTCTCCTCCCCCATTCTCGCATCTCAGGCGGGGCGGGGAGGCAGGCCCCCCTCATGTTTCCAGAGCTCCTCCCGGCAGGTTCTAAACTCTGAGATGGGAGGTCCCAGAGGGCGACCGGGGGCGTGGCCTAGGCGTGCCGGGGGCGTGGCCGGGGCGTGGCTACGGGCACTGGCCAGGTGCGTGGCCAGGGGCAGGGGCTTCCCTGGGCCCTGCCGCAGGTTGACTCCTTCTAGCTTCCCCCCTCCCCTCTTCCCTCTCCGCATGGAGAGGAGCCCGGCGTCGGCTACCGCAAGCCAGGAAGGGAGGAGGAGCCTCAGTCGTCCTCATCCTCGTCCTCGTCTTCCGTGTCCTTGTTGGGCGCGCACCTCTGGAAACACTGCACCACGGTGGCCAAGAAGAAGCTGGAGATGATGGCAGCAATGGACACGGCCACCCCGGAGAAGATGATGATGAACAGGTCCGTGAGCGACAGGCTGAACCTGCACTCGCTGAAGCTGGCCTCGGACAGCTCATGCAGGAATATCCTCCTGTTCCCCAGGGGCAGGGAGCACTGGATTTCCTCGCGGCCTGTGGAAAAAGCAGGCGGGGTAAGAGAAACATCTGCAGGCCAGCCTAAAAGTTGGCAGGGCGAGGGTTTGCCAAGCACAGAGTGGGAGCGTCCTCCCCCCAAGAGCAAAAGGGGAGGGGGGAGTTGATTATAATGGAATTTAAGCTTTTTAAAAAGCCCAGAGGAATCCCCGTGGGAAAATCAGAAGGCCTTGGTCTCCCTCGCCCCGCTCTAAGATATGGAACTGGGTTTTGAACCACTCCGTGGCCACGCAAAAGGAGATTCAGGGTCAGAGCTTCTGTAGACCTTGATCCAGACCTGGGTACCACCTGGCCTCCCGGGAAGTCGGGGGCGGGGTGGGGGTGTCAACGGAAGGGGCCGGGGGAAGTGCCCACGGATGAAATTCACTCCATTTTGGAGAGCCACCTTCCCGGCCAGGTGCCGATCCCCTTGTCCTCAGGACAAAAGTGAACACAACTCCACTACTCTAAAAGAGTTTTCCCTCCACGGGAGCGGGGGAAATGGGCTCTCTCTGAAGGTGGCCTTCCAACAGCAGTTACCAAAGCTGTGAAGCTTCGGTGAGCTTCAGAATCACCTGAAGAGAGCTTTAAAATGCAGGTTCCCTGGAGAGTTGGCAAGCTTCTGGGACGCTCTCTCCCACGATGCCCAGAGGAGCCCTGGTAACCTCGGTTTTATGTACTGAGGTTCCCTTTAAGATTTCACTTGGAGAGTGGCTGATCTGGAAAGAAGTTTCCCCCCTCCAGTCCAGGAAAATCTGACTGAGTGCATGTGAGAAAGTGCTTTAAAACAACAGTAATGAGAAACACTAACTTGAGCTTACCAGAGGCCAGACGCTGGTCTAAGTACTTCACATACAATAAAGCATTTCATCTGCCAGCCAGTGAAGTACAGGGACAGCTCGGAGGACTGCAAGGGGGAGGGGTCCACACCCTCCTGCTTTCTAGGGAGCCTAAAGGAAAACTTGCCCGGGGCATGAAGATCCAAGCACCATGCCAATGGTTTTTCAAACACTCGTTTATTCATTCAACACACATTTAGTGGACACTTTATCTTGTGCCAAGGGATTGGTGGCAAAAAAGGCAAAAAGGGCCCTTAATCTCAAAGAGTATAAATTCTGGAAGACAGACACACATTCGTGCCTTCAACACGTGTTTATTGAGTATCTCCCACACATTAGGCCCTGGGAATACAGCAGTGAGCTCAACAAAATCCTTGCCCTAATGCAGCTTAGGTGTAGACAACTGATGAGTAGATCAAGAAATATATAAATGTTGGGGCGCCTGAGTGGTCCAGTCGGTTAAACATCCGACTCTTGATTTCAGCTCAGTTTGTGATCTCAGGGTCAGGAGATCAAGCCCCAGGTCGGGAGATCAAGCCCCTCATCGGGCTCCGTGCTCAGCAGGACGTCTGCTTCTCTCCATCTCTCTCTGCCCCTCCCATTGCATGCATGCACACGTGTTCCTCTCTCTCTCTCTCTCAAATAAATAAATCTTTAAAAAAAGAAATACATAAATGTGAAGATGACACACTAACGTCAAACGAGGAGTGTCTGGGAAAGAGGGCCATCTTTATTTGGGGTGTTCGGGAGGTACTGTTTCAGCAAAGATCTAAAGAATGAGATGGAACCAGTCACAGAAGAACAATTGAGGCAGAGGAGGCAGGAAGTTGGCAAAGAGCTCAGTGTTCGGCAACACTGTGTAGCCAGGGGCAGCAGAGTGGGCAAAGGAGTGTTTAGTATGAGCTGAGGTGGGACACGTGGACATGGGTTGAGATGAAGCCCAGACTTGCCAGGGTCTCCAAATGAATATCATGAACAGAGACCCCACCTCCGGCACCAACCCTGTTACGGACTGAATTGTGTCCCCCTCACCCCTGCATTTGTTGAAGACCTAACCCCCAGTGTGAGTGTAATTAGAGATAATAATGGGATAATTAGGTTAAAGGAAATCAGAAGAGTGGGGCCCTAATCTCATAGGACTGGTGTCCTTCTAAGAAGAGGAAGAAACAACCCAAAGATCTCTCTCTCTTTCTCTGCATGTGCACAGAGGTGAGGCCATGTGAGGACTCCAGGACACTAACAAAAGATAGACTTGTGTGAGCAGTCAGCCCCCAAAGGCTGTTTGTTTCCAAGTGTAATCTACATACCCTGACCGATACACAATATGAACTGTATACAAAGTCAAGTTACTTCCATGATTTCACAAACTTCACATACAAGAAAATGTGTCATTTTAAAATGCATAAAATGTTTCTGATGTGGAAGAGGAGAGAAAGACAAAGCAGTAGAAACTAGCATCCGTATTGCACTCAGTACGTGCGAACTCTATTCCAAGTGCTACAAACATACCAACTCTTCATTCCTGCCACAACTTCATGAGGTAGGTAGTACAAGCATGCCCATTTTATGGATGAGAAAACTGAAGCACAGAGAGTTTTCATAGCTTGCCTTCAGCTTCCCAGAAACGTGAGGACACCATTTTGACATGTAGCTCAGCTGCCTACAATCTCCGCTTCCCTTTGGCTTCCTTTCAACTTTTAGGAAAACCCACAATTGCTCTCTTTGTCAGGGCTTCCATTTCAAAGAGCTGGCCCTCAATCCATCTCCAGAATTATATGAAAGTCAGAATGATCTCTTCACACCTTGCAAGGGAGTTGGCTTCTGTCGAGCATAGAGCAGGCTCGCTGTGCAACCACCCTTCGGGTCTTTGTTTGTATCTCTTTCCTCCTCCAGCTCAGAAGAAGAGGCTTCCTCCTTCCTTCTGTCCTGGCCCGTCTTTTCTGTGATGTACAGCCAAACCCACTGATGCTGTCCTCCCTGTGGAAGCTGTTGCCATGGCAACCAGACTCCAAGTCCTTCCTCTCCCTGATCCCGCGCCCACCTCACATACCCCGGGAATGAGCCGGACGAGAGCTCTGCATCGTTCTCCAGTTTATGCTGGGCTCGTTTTTGACTTTCTTTTTCTTAAAGAAGCCCAACTTTCGTTGACTACTTATGAGCCTTTTAAATGCATCTGAACAGAATTAGGAGAACTTGAAGACAGAGTCATATTGGGGTTCCCTTGGGCTTCCCTTGTTTTCTTCAATGGAAAGTGGACAAATCAATTGACCAGCCTCCTCTAAACACCCCCCTGCCCACAGCCAGGGATGTTATGAACATAAACGAGATGAACTCCAATGAAGTTCCTAATTGCAAGATATTTGCAATCTTCAGATCTGTACCAAGTCACTACTATTGCCCAGAGAACCTTCCTAGCAGTTCTTGCCTTTGATAAGCTGTAGTCACTGGAAAACACCCACAATGCAACAACACAAGCCCACAGAGCCTGCCATTTAAATCCACTCTCTGCTCGCCAAGACTCCTTGAGTCCATTCCGATTTCCACAATGGTCTTTTTTTTTTTTTTTACATATTTACAAAATGACACTTTTGGAGAATGCCATCCCACATTTCTCTGTAGCTAGAAGAAACAGACTTGTTTGCAAACCACTGCACACCAGCCCACCAGTAGTAGGAGACTCTAGAACCACACTTGGAGCTAGCACGATGAGATACACTGTCTTAGTGGGTTTTTGTAGCTCACAAAAGGCACAGAAATAAGAAGAGTCGGACAAAGAGTGTCATCCCAGCAGACAAGGCTCAGCAGAGGGGGCAGGGCGCTGCTTCTCATGTCCCAGGCTGGCTGCAGAACTCCAGAGTCAGGACAATCTGACCTTGGGTGTATCTTCTCTCCTGCACGATCTTACTCGAGACTAGAGTTTCTCACCCTTGCCAGTACTGACGTCTTGCATCAGTTAAGTGTTGTGGGAGGACAATCCAATGTGGGGCAGAAGGTTTACCAGCATTCCTGCACCCAGTAGGACCATCACAAATGTCTCCCAACAGTGCCACGTGGGACAAGGGCAATAAAGTCCTTCTGGTTGAGAACTTTAGGGGGAAGTGCCCGGCAAAGGAAGTTACCTTCTATGCCAGGACCACTCTTGGTGACTGAGCTTAGCTATTAAATGGCTTTCTTTGATCTGTGCATTAAACACAACAGGTGAGGTTTTATGCTAGAGGCTGTGATGGATGCAAAAAAGGAAGCAGAGGACGGAAAGAGGGAGGGAGGGAAGGAAGAAGAGAAAGACACAGTTCTGGCCTGAGAACCTTCTGTCTAACGGTAGGGGCACTAGGGCAGGGCCAGTGGAAAGGGGGGATAGGGCATGGGCACATGAAGGGAGGGAGTGAGTCCCTGGGATGTCCCTGCTTGATTTGGAATGTTCTCCCTCCCTTCCTGACCCCCATCTCCTCAGCTGTCTGAGTTAAGATCAGTGAACAAAAGCCAACACTGATAGAGCATTTTGAGTGTGCTGGGCACTGCTCTTAGGTCTTTACATATATTAGGTAATTTGATCCTCACGCCAGCCCAATGGGGAGCCTGCTACAACTATCCCCTTAACAGATGATCCAAACAAGGAACAGAGACATTAAGTGACTTGCCCAAGGCCACACAGCTGGGGAATGGCCAAGCTGAGAGTGAGCCCAGCCAGCCTGGCTCGAGTCCATACTCCGACCACCACCCGGCCCACCTGGACTCCCAGGGCTGCCCAGCCTCACCCAGAATCTCACAACAAGCTCCTTTCACGCAGACTGTCTTTTAAAGAGTTGCTCTAGAACTTTCCCGCAACTCTCCTGTCTCCAGCCCTGACCTAGACGGACCGCAGAGGTCTCCCTTGTCAGGAGCACGGCTCTCAATGCAGATGTGCAGGGATGCCCCCCCACCATTGGCCTGGTGATGGTGTTGTGAGCATGACATAAGGGGACATCTGCAAACTTACCGTGGCGCCTGGCCACCGTTCATGCTTAAAAAACAGCGCTCGTTTTTATTCAGATTTTTAAGGTTTCAAATTGCACCCACACCTGACTCCAGATATCTGAGGAGGCTCCCTGTATTAGTCAAGGTTCTCCAGAGACACAACCAATAGGGTGTGTGTGTGTGTGTGTGTGTGTGTAAGGAAAGAGA